TGTGTGTGTGTGTGTGTGTGTGTTAGTAGTTATGCATAGATGTGGGATGTGTGTTTTTCAAAGGGTGAATAGCAAATCCCAAAATGTGATGATTGTGTTTAGGGAGAAAAAGGGCAAAATAGCGATAATGAGCTGTTGCAACAATAATAATGGCTATAAATTATATCTAGCAGTTAGTTCATTTAGATGCTTCTTGAACAGTGGAAACGGTGGTTAGACTCTCAGCGCTAACTAAAGCTCTCATTAGGCGGTCTTTTTAGTGGCGAATAATATCCAAGTAGAAGCGGGCTTCTGACGACATTTGGAATTTAAGGTGAGGTACGCTATTTTCTTGCAAAATTACATTTACAGCATTTCTAATGACAAAATTAGAGATATTGTCTGCTAATTAGCTAAAAAAGTTTAAGTGGAGCTTTAAATAAATCTTAAGATTATCGGTAAGTCTATCCTAAAAGTGGTGAGTGATTATCCACCTTTCGGCTAAATTTTTTTCCATTACCTGTTCCATCATCCACAATGATGGCGTTTTCGGGCAGCTTTTTGTTGGAATGGCTCATGTGAAGGCGTGGATTTGGGTTTGCCGAGTGTCGATTGCGACTGCGTCGCGAGCTGAACCACATGTTGCATCCTTTGATTGTGCATTTGTGCATCTCACGTAGATGTACAGCGCTATAGTGAATTTTGAGTGCTCCTGAAAAAAAAGAATATTTATTTAGGACTGAGTTTACATAAATTTAGGTGGTTACTTAAAGTAGTATGTATATTACGTATAAACTATGCGTAGCATACCTTTGTCACAAAAAGATTTCCTGCATGTTGTACAGATGACGCGTTTTTTGCTCCTTTGCGCACTACTTCCATTGTTCATCAGGGAGTTGGACAAATTACTTGCTCCATCGACTCCGCTCATTGGTTGTGCGGCCTCGTCATCAGGAGCCATCATGAAGACCGGTTGGAAGACAGAGTTGGCTTCGCTACCTCTCGCCTCTCCACATCCCGTCGACGAGAGCCCAATTCGACCGCGTTGCTTGGCCGAAGAAGTTCGCTTCGGCTTATGCCCAACCGCCTCTTGTTTACAGGCACCGGAACTCGTAGTGGCGTCAAATGCGTCCGATGCGCGAAGACCCGTGACGGACAAAAGGCCACTCAGTGCCAAGCCGCTAGGACTCGAGCTCGAGACGTGTCCGCTGACACCGGCTCGGCGTGCGCTATTCACAAGGCCCAAAGCCTTTCTGGTAGACAAATTTGTCGGCTGACCGGGCAGCCCGGCAATAAGGCACCCGTCTGACGGACAGGCGGTTGCGGTCAGCGAATCTTGTCTTCCAGCTTGTGGCAGCAACTGTTGCCGTGTGTGCGGCGGTTGAGGCGGAGGCGACGGTAGCAGCTGTGGCAACAAAGGCGGTGGCGGCGGCGGAGCTGGTGGAGGAGGTGGCGGCGGCGGAGGAGGAGGCGGCTGCGGAGGAGGTGTGTTGAAGCCAACGGCGTCGAGACTGAATCCGGCGCCACGCAGGAGTCCAGCTGCCCCGGGAAACAGGCTGAGCTCGCAGGTCGGGCTTCTGCCGGTGCCCATTAGCCCGGAGACCAGGGAGGGGTGTGGAGCACAGGCTCCGCCGCCATCGCTGTTGCTGCCACTTACGGCAGACGAACAATTGAGTGGCTTTCGTCTATTCCAAGAAGAGGAG